CATCATCATCAAGGGCAATCCTAAGCTAGTGATCTCTTGTCTTCTTCTTATGATTGATCCGCCATAGTGTCTCAGAAACGTCATTCAAGATTGATCGGAGCTGAGGGAGTCTCTCTCTCTCTCGAGGAGTTATCTACAAGCATGTTTTTTACGAAGTAACCCAAGCCCACAAACGGGTTGGCCCAGAAAGCCCTTTCAAATGTTCAAGGTTTTGTTTATCTTAATCTTGATAATCTTCCTTGGCATTTAGTTTTTATCTTTTCTAGTGATTTGAGGAAATGTACTACCCCCCATCTAGTGTAGCCCCTTCTGGTTTCTAAGAGAGAGAGAGAGAAGTTTGTATGTGGGGAAATTTGCACTCCCTATATTAATTCTGAAGAGCAACTTGCAAATATCTTCAAGAAAGACTTACTTGCAAATATCTTCACAAAGGGCTTACTTACTTGCAACATAATGATTTATGTGACAAATTGAACATGATTGATTTCTATGTCCTAACTTGAGGAGTACTAAAGGTATTAACTTTTGTAAATATAGTGCCACAAGGGTACTATTGTCTTTTTACTATATATTTTTTAATTAGAGCATGGAACGCCCTAATATAAGTAGAAAACTTGGTGGTGCCAACATAACTTTTGCCTCTCAATCTATCTATTCTCTCTTTTCTTCTTTCTGTCCTCTCTCTTTTATGTCTTCTCTTTTGTTTCTTTCTCTTTCTTTTCCAGGTTAATATGTATCATGATGAGTATTCCTATTATCATCAAAATTTGCATTCCTTTGCTTGTCTCAAATATTTTAAAAACTCGTGTTTCTAAATTCTAAGGTATTTGTTCATAAATTTAAATTCCATGTAATCTCTCTCCAGTTTCATCAATTAATAACATTTTATGAGCATATACTGCCCTTGGGCATACAAATAAAAAAAGTAAGTAAATAAATAAATAAAGAACTTTGTGCTAAGGCTTGGTGGAGTTCTATTAATCAGCAGTTTTCAATATATGGCACTATATACGTATTATAGTTTTACTATTATTTGTACTGATATTGTGATTTTAGAGATTAGATCATAGATACTATTATCCTATGCTGGTTCCTGCTGCTATCTAGGGTCTTGGGTGAATTTGATACAGGCCAAATCTCTAGTAATATAAGCACAAAGTGACTTCTCTGGAATACAAATCCATGTCCAAATACTTGTCAGTCTGAGATTTCAAAACCAAACAAAGCAAAATGACCCTTGTTAATTTTCTCCTCATGGTTAATTTGTCATATATACATTCTTTCTTCTGATTTAGAATTTCATTGTGACTTCAAAAAATATTTCTCAGGTTTCAGTTTTATTATTCTAATGGTTATTATCACAATTCTATCCTTTTTTTTATACATCTCATGTATCCGCTGTTATTCCTTTAGTCAATATCCATTTAGGATTTCAACTTGCCAACATATTTTCTTTCTGTAGTGCAATAGTTGGTGTTATGATTATTGAATTTGTTGGCATTGAGATGTGGAGATAGCATTGGAAAGGTAAACTTCTTGTCTGTTTTATTACTTTCATAAAACGAGATATTGATCCACTCCATTTCTATTGATGTGAATTGGTTTGCAATAATTTTTTTTATTGCTTTTGAAAGCAAAGTTTCACAAGCATGGATACCAGTCACCAAGCTTTTGAAACTTTGATGTGGGTATGAATCACGTTCATTGGTTTGGGTGATTTCAAAGATTATCTGCTGATTGCATCAGCAAGTTGAATATATTACCATTGTGCTATATTATGAAGAATCCCTTCTATTATAATAATAGTGAATCACCCTGCACTTAATGAGTCCAGATCTCCTCTTAACAAAAATCCATTCTATCATGACCTGTCCACACACATGTGGGCCCCAGTCTTGTGGTGAGATTAGAGGTAATTCAGGTTGGTCCATGTTAGTATTTCACACTGGTTTGGGCTTGGGTTCTCGGGCTGGGCTCATTCAAATTTTGACAAAAGTCCAACCTGATCTTGTCGCTGCACCCCTAAGCGAGGTGGATAGAGATCCCATTTTCCACTTAATTAGGTTTCATATTATCACAATGTATTGATGTATATGTACAATGTGTATATGGATTTAAACCCACCAAAATTTTCAGGGATTTAATAGTTGTTTAAAACATTCTAATCCCTCTTATATTATATGAGCATGTGTATCAATACTTTGAACCATTTGGGGAAACTTACGCTGCAATTGTTTTGTTTGGGACGCACTATTTAGAATTAAATGTGAAAGCATTTAAGCTTAATTATATTAAAACAAACATGAAGTGTTCATGAAAATGACAGCATTTGTATTTGCACTAAACATATTTTTGCACTCTTCCCAAATGGAGCTAAAGGACATGCTTTATCTAGAAGAACAAAACCTACATCATTGCAATGTCTTTAAAGCCTTGAAACTTATTTATTTATCTTTTGTAAGTTAGGATACTCAAATTGAATTTGGTTTGTTAGTAAAAGATATGAGATAACTTTCTTACTCGGGTTAGGAAACAATAAGGGTGCAACTTTTGTTAAGTTTTGAATAGGTCTGAGCCCAAATCCAAGCTCAATGTAGTTGAGACTTCTCAACTTGGGTAACCTGATTTGCACCCCTTGGCTCAGTTTGGAAGGAGTACAAATACAAATATATAGAGTGCAAAACTTTGTATTTTGTATGTATTTTCATTATACATATTTGTATTTGTAATCTTTCCAAGGCTCATTTTGGAAGGAGTACAAATACAAATATGTACAATGCAAATGCATATTCAACAATACAAAATATAAGGTTTTGCAATCTACATATTTGTATTTGTACTCCTTCCAAACTGAGCCTAAGAGTACAAATACAAATATGTAGAGTGCAAAACTATGTATTTTGTATTAAATTGTATGTATTTGCACTCTACATATTTGCATTTGTACTCCTTCCAAACTGAGCCTAAGAAGCAATACAATTTGTGAGCCGGATTGCAATTCGCCCCCAAAACAATTAAACAATAAAGATACAATTTTTTACTTTTTTGCATTAAAACTTATTTAACCCTTAAGGCTACCATGTATTTGAAAGAGAACCACTTGTCTGAGGACATCGTTTTATTCACTCTAAAGGCCTAGTATCTTTCTTGGATGCTTAGGAGCCCAATCAATTGGCCCATTTAAGGCCCATACAAGAGATTCTGCCATACTCTCTCTCTCTCTATCTCTCTCTTTTTCTTGAAAGAATGCCCTACCCTCCCAAATAGTGTTGTAAATGGGTTGGATCGAATCAGATGCCTAGATCCAAAATAAATTCTTAGGCCCCGTTTGCTTTTTGATAAGTTACTTACCCATGTTCTTTTATTTCCCATGCAAACAAGACAATGACCATTTTAGCCATAAAAATCCATTATTACAAGGGGTATTTTTGTCCCATTCAGGTGTTGGCAACTTTCCCCCAATGTGGGAAAGCTATTTACCCACCTAGGAATACCCAGGAAAATAAACTTTCCCTGATCCCCACATAAATATGAAAAAAGAACATGGGATTCTTGGTCAATGGGAATCAAAATCCCATTGACCAACTTTCCCCCTCTCAAAATCCAAGGCCTTATTTTTTTCCTTTTGGTTAACTTTAAATTTTCCCACAAATACATGTACTCATTCTAAATTCTAATAGGTCGCAAGGGTTATGGGCTGAAATTGATCCCAATAATTAGAGGAAAAACCATCTCTCCACACCCACACTGAAAGTTCCTAGGGTTTTCCGAGTTTAGACCTCTCTAATTCGAGATCAAATCAGCCCCCCACAGGATTGTCCCCCACAATGTCCCACAGTACATCCCTGCCATGTATTGGGAACATCTCTCGATGATAATACCAAAAATGATGATGTCATCATTGAGAAATGTTTCCAATACACGACGAAGATGTACTGTGGGATGTTGTGGGGGGCTGATTTGAACTCCTCCAATACAAAGTCCAAATAACCCAACTAACAAATGTACTTGCCCTTGTAAAGCACAAGCTGGTGATTTTAATTTGTTCCTCACTTATAAAAGTAGAATCCTCTTTATTCCTTCCATAGAAGGGAATTGAAGCAATCTCATTCCCCAAAGTTCCTTTCTGATTCAATTATGTATAGACCTGTTCATGGGCCGGATTTTACAGTCAATGAACATTTTACACTGCTTTGACTTGGGCTTTGAGTCAGGTCCATTCAAATTTTGACAAAAAGCTAAGTCCGAGCCCGGCCATATGGAACAATTGGTTCTGCCGCAGATCCTAACTCGATTTGTGTGTTCATCATTTCTTTTTCCAATTAGATAACTTCTGATCACTTCAAGAAAGGAAGTATTTCTTGCTTTCCAAGTTATATATAGTGATGATAGGAAGAGCTTGAAACAAGTATTTTCTTATTATCATTATATAATTAGTGGTTCAGGTGTAGTCCTAATTTCTAGTTTAGCTTGAGAAGTCGTACACCATATTTTTAAGAGGTTYTTTCCTCAAGAGTACCTGAATGTGTGATGGTCATCCTATATCTTAATGGTGACATGCCGGTTGGAGATTGGTGAGACCTTGATCTGAGGTTCAAGAAGAGGGTCATATATCTTATAAATTTTCCTTTGTCACTACAAATCTTGCTTGCTTTCTTGATTCATATATGGGAATGGGTTTACCAGTCAATACATTTATGGAAGAAGTTTAAATTAACTGGATTTTCTTTTTCATAAAATTCTCTATGATCATAAGACAAGTTTCAGTCCCAGAGCACTTATGACTGTTTGATCTAAGCGCTTGGACAGATGGCTAATACTATTTGGTGAAAACCCCGACAAGAGATAGTGCATGGAGTGACATAGATGAGGAAAGTAGACACATGGCAAATTCAAAGAATCTTGTGGACTCCACTTGACAGAAATAGGTGCTGTCTAGATAAGGAAGACTAAGAGACTTAATCATACATGGCTGTAGGGCTGTCAATTGGACCGGATTTGGTCTAATTCGATGTGGGCTCATTTACAAATGGACCTAACCCAATTATCCAGTACAAGTCCATACAAATCAAGTCCAATCCAGTCTAATTAAAATGCAAATGGACTTGATTAGTGAATGAAACACCAAAAATTACATGAATTCCACACAAATAATTCAATCAGATCCATATTCGCTCTACCCTCGGTCCAAAAGACCAAACCCCGAAAGAAATACATAACCTATATGTTTTCCTCCTTACTCAAGGTGTCATCAATTGCTTAACTGAAATAATTAGATTCAGAGCAATTGATCATCCGGACTTGCCACAAAATCCTGAAACAAGAGATCCTTAGCTAAAGAGCCACAGGCTGTGGCCATGGGTCAACGGCCTCCAGAGATGAATTGTTCTGTGATTGTTAATGAGGGGACAGAAAATTTCTCTAGCGTAGAAGCAGACGATGGGGCCGTTTCATAGACAACCTCCTCTCCCCCCCGCACAAGAACATCTGCACTGAAATCCTCTGGTAGCGGAGCATCACCTTCCAAATATTTCAGCACACAAGACATGCTCGGTCTAGCTTCGGCCACAGGGTGTGAACAAAGCAACCCAAGCTTCAACACCAATTCAGCTTCTTCCACCACATATTCCRTGCCTAACTTCGGATCCACTGTCTCCAAAATGGTTCCCCTCCGCCAGCTCTCAGTCACCCAGTCCACCAGAAGTATCCTCTCCGGTGCCGCTTCTCGTTGCACTGGTCTTCTCCCACAAGCGACAGAGAGCAGAAATGCACCAAACGCAAACAAGTCTGTTCTTGTATTGGCCTTCCCTGTTCTTGCAAGCTCTGGTGCAATATAACCCAGAGTGCCTGCTAGGTGGGTGGTCTGAGGGTCAATTCCATGGTCGCATAATCTGGCTAGCCCAAAATCCCCCAACCGTCCATTCATCTCGCTGTCTAGTAAGACATTGCTAGCCTTGATATCTCTGTGAATGATCACATTCATCCATTGATGATGCAAGTAGAGAAGCCCAGAAGCGACGTCCCTGATGATCTTAAACCTTTGTTCCCAACTCAGTATCATCTTGGGTTGATCAAAGATGAACTTGTTGAGGCTCCCGTTGGGCATGAAGTCGTAAACCAGGAGGAGCTCTCTTTTGCGCCTGCAATAGCCCAGTAGAAGTACCAAGTTTGGGTGCCTGAGCCTGCCGATCGTCGCAATCTCTGCAATGAACTCTTTCATTCCTTGTGCTGAATCATGAGCAACTTTCTTCACTGCTACTTGGACCCTTGAACTGGGTAACACCCCACGATAGACCTCACCGAAACCTCCTCTCCCAAGAAGCTCTTTCTCTTTGAAGCCTTTGGTGGCAACAAACAGGTCCTTGTACCTGAATCTGTGAGGCCCGTACTGGACCTCCCAATCTTCGAGTACTTCACTGAATTTTATCTTCCTTCGATAAGTCAAAAGGCCACTGGCCATGGCTGCCAGCAGAAAGAGAACTGCAGTCAACGGCAGCAGCCAAGCCAAAACCTTCGGTTTCTTCTTGTGTTTTTCCTCTGCTTGTACACTTGTAGGAATCTTATCATTTCGAGGGAGATCATCAGGAAGAAGTGAAAGGTTAAAAGATTGAGCTTGCCCGTTCATCTTGAAGCTCCAACCCAGTAAATAATGAGTTGCAGGAACAGAACCAGTAGATGATGAGAAACCTACATACATATTCTCCAAGATGTATGGTGAAAGATCAAGTGCTAAGGACAGGAGAGGAAAATGGGGTTTAGTCATGTTGAAAGGAGCTACTGTAACATTAAGTTGTTTAGCTACACCATCATATTCCACCCACACTTGCATTGGATCTCCACTTACCAGCCTTAGATCTCTAAACCCATCTGCAACTGCAACTCCGTCTGTGTAATAACCTGCTCGACTGGAATTAATGGACTCTAAGCCGTTGATGTCGATCCCAACATGGTTATTGTTGATATCCATGAACTGGGGGCTTCTGATGGTGTCTAGCTCAACTGCAACAATATGATTGAACTGATTTCCGTTGTTGGTGTCATTGAATAGCCCAAGATAGTGATTGGGTAGGGCTCCGGGGAATGATTTTGAAGGTGAAATGACAAAGGCAATTCCATGGCCACTTAGTGATTGATCGTGAGAGATTATTGTGAAGAGGAAAGAAGTAGAGAAGGAGAAAGCACTATTGTTTGAGTTCTTGAACCGGAGAGGTTGGGAGTAGAAGAGATAGCCTTCCTGGTTAAGACCATCATCGGTCAGCTTAATAAAGCCTTCGGCCCGGGCCCTAGCATCGCCATGCAGCTCTAAGGATTTGTTGCTGTATCCGTAAAAGATGAAATCATCGCTAGCAGTAGTACTGGATTGTGCGAGCTTTAGGTGGAGTAGGAAAAACACCAAGATCATGTAAGACATGGCTAAGTGTGATCAGGACGAAACTCTGATCACTTTCTCTCGAGTTTGAATTTGGAAGAGCTTATTGAGCTATATCTGTAGTTGGTTGAAACAAATGGAAGGATATGGGAATTGGATGGACAGAGCTTCCTCCCTCCTGTTATACTGAAATTTGGTAAACGCAAACGTGGAACATGTTTCTGGTAGCAGTCATCGTGGATAGTAGAATCTCTGGAGTTCTTTGACTTTCTTCTTTTTCTTCTTATTCTTTGAGTAAGCGAGTTGAGTTGGTGTCTGCTTCCTGGAGATTTGCGCAGAGAGGGCAATGCTTTTAACTCTTAGAAAAGCAGCATGAGCCGTGCATCTCTAGTGGTGATCCAACTGTTGGAATAAATGGTTCTAYGTAGAAGATATTCCGGACGAGTGGTATAAGATGGACTTGCAAGGCTTACAGAACAAATTTGCCTACTAAGCAACTCTTTTCTAGAAAGTGTAATTTGAGGCTTATATTATCACATGCACTCTGAAGTCAAACTTCACGTAACATGAAAATTGAAAGTTTTTTGCTTTCAAAGCCTGAATGTTGAAAGACGTTTCCAGAAAAAGAGAAGTTTGAACTGTTTTTTGGGATAAGTACACTGTCCAATCTGAAATGACAGCCCCTATTAATCTATTAATAGCCTCCTGAATTTGGCATCGACACAGGATCACGATTTATCCCACTTATACGGCGTGGATTGAATTATAACATTTTCAAGAATTGAGGCACATGGATGACAATGTCAAATGGACAATTTATATGCTATGGGTTGTTTGGCTAAATCCTGAACAGAAGACACCGCGAAGTTTGAGTCTAACCCAACCCAATATAAATTACAACAGGAATACCGACCAACCTATAGGATCATATAATCCACTCCTWTCCGGCATGACCCCAGAATGGTTTCCCCATTCAAAAGTTTATTCTATTTATATTTGTCATTTCTTACCCATTTATAAAAGCATTAATGGATGAGCGTCCATCGTCCAACACCCTGATTTTATATTTTCAATTTTACCCCACCCTGATTTTATATTTCTAATATATTTTCAATCCTATTCTCTCTTAAAATGCCTGAATTATATACATATATATATATATATATATATGATGATGACAATGTTTCGTTAAAAAGTCTATTTTTTACTTTCCATTTTTATCTTTTATTATGTTTTTTTTTTTCTAATTTTATTTAATTAACAGTTAACACTTGTAATTGGATAATCTATGTATCTCATCATTTATAAAAATGAGAATGGTGACAATGCTTTGTCAAAAAGGCTAATTTTCATTTTCCATTTTTACCCTTTATCATATATATATATATTTTTATTTTAAAGCTTGATTTTCACTTTCCATTTTTACTCTTTGTTATGTTTTTTATTTTTCAATTTTATTTAATTAACGCTTAACACTTGTAATTGGATAAAACAAATAAAATAATAATAAGACTACTGTAGAACCTATTCCTCGCCTTATATAATCTTCTCCCGAAGCACCTACTTAATTAATGAACCTCTTCATTGATTAGAGCTAACACGTGTCAAGTGTCGAATGGTTTGCTCAAACTACAAATTTGAATTGAAGGGAATAATAGATTTTTTCAACCTCTCTCTTTTCATCAGGGACAATCAGATGATTAAATGAAGCTTTTTTTTTTCTCCCTATTTTTTTCAATTGTCTCTCTTAACGTAATAAGTTGTATTGGATCAGAAAATTCTCTTAGGTTCATTATGCGTCTATTTGGAACCATTGTTGTTGCTCCAAAAAAACGGTGCCACATCAGCGCCATGTAGGAAAAAATGGTGCTCTAGGAAACAACCATCTGTTTGGAACTGTTTTTCCATAGAAAATGGTGCCCCAAGCCACGCCTTGGAAATCAGTAAGGCATGGGTTGGAGCAACGCCAAATTTGGCATTTCCTAGAGTTGCAATTCATTGCTGCCAACAAGGCARTGATGTGATGGGTAGAAGTGCAGAAAACGTTTCCTAGAGCATTGGTACCAAACAGAAAAAAGTTGTCGTTGCTCTAGGAAACGTCCTACCTGGCAGCAACGATTCCAAACAAAAAAGGCCCAAGCCACACATCAGTGCTATAATTGCAGCATCGATGCCAAACATATACTATATTGATTCATTTTAGGTGTTTTTTTCTCGATGATCATCAGACCAATTCGGTAATCTAACACCCTACCAACGTAATATCGTAGGGATTGTACTTGGTAGGGCCATAGGAGTTTGGAATGCATTTTGTTGGCATGAGATCCAGATTCTCTATATAAATCGAATGGATGTTCGATTTGAATATGAATATAAATGAATAAGGAATAACCTATATCATAATGCTAAGCATTATATATGCAAATAACGACCCCCACCATTGGTGAGCAGAACGACAAGAGGCAAAAGGCCAAATGTCATCATTCACACATGAAGCAAAGACATTAATCCTAAAACCCCAATTCTTTCCTTTAAACCCTTCTCTGCATAGTGTATATCTTATCCACTCCCCCTACTTTATAGTAGGAAAGAGGAAACATAAATGGCATCTCTCTTATCTTATGCATCTTTTTCCTCAAAATGAAGAAAACAAAATAAATTACAGAAAAAATAAAGAAATACGCAAAAAAATTACAAAAATATAGAAAATCATAAAAATTTCTATACCATACTAAAAAATAAGATTGTTGTCTGTACCATTTATAAAAATGAGGGTGGTGACAATGTTTCGTGAAAAAGCTTGATTTTTACTTTCCATTTTTACCCTTTCTAGTTTTCTAATTTTATTTAATTAACGGTTAACACTTATAATTGGATAAAACAAATAAAATAATAATAATTTTTTATTTTTCCAATTTTATTTACTTAACGGTTCACGCTTGTAACAAATAAAATAATAATAAAACCGCTATGGAACCTACTTCTCTCTTTCCCCTTAGGCCTTTTTTGATCTTCTCCCCAATAGCGCTACAATCGGATCAGGTTCTTATTGGATGTAGCAAAATCCGCATCCGATTTGAATATTAAGAACCTACATTCAAATTTGATCCAAAATTCGATTGGATTTAGAGACTCAGATTCAAATTTGAATCCTAACAAACTCATATCAGATTTGGATTTAATCCGATTCCACTTTTATATATAATAAATTAATATAAATATAGCATACTAAATTTATTATATATAAATTCATATATAATATAATATTTAAAATATATTTTTATAAATTTTAATATAATTATATAGAATTTATATATTAAAATTAATAAATATTATAGTATAATCATATTCAAATATTAGTCAAATCATATTGGGTCAAATCCAAATCCGATTTGATTATTAATTGAATGTAGATTGTAACATTCGAATCTTATTCTATTATATAAATATGTAATCTGAATCCAAGATAATCAGATTGGATGTCAAATTGGGCCTCGGATTTTTGGGTATCATTGACAGGCCAACTCTCGTYAGGCCTACCTGACGAACCGCTTCATTGATTAGAGCCAACATGTGTCAAGTATCAKATGGTTTTCCCATAACCCACGAATTCAAATTGAAGGGAATAATGGATTTTTTTGACCTCTCTATTTTCATCATTGAACAATCAATTAGATGATTAAATGAAGCCTTTTTTGGTTTTCTCTCTATATTTTCAGGTATTTTTTCCCATTTACCCTCTATTTTGATTGTCTCCGTTAACATAATAAGTTGTATTGGATCGAGAAATGATTTCAGGTTCATTATATTGATTTGTTTTAGGGTATTTTTTTTTCGATGATCATCAGGCCAGTCCAATAATCTAACACCCTACCAAAATTGGACAGATGTTCAATTCAAATCTGAATATAAACAAATCAAGATCAACCTATATCCAAACGCTAGCCATTAGATATGCAAATAACAGCCCCACCATTGACGAACAGAACGACATAAGGCAAAATGCCAAATATTATCATTCACACATGAAGCGAAGAAATAAATTCTAAAATCACAGTTCTCTCCTTTAAACCCCTCTCTGTATAGTTTATATCTTATCCATTCCCCCTACTTCACAATAGGAAGGAGGAAATAAAAATGGTGTCTCTTTATCCTATGCACCTTTCTCTTCAAAATAAAGAAAATAATATAAATTACAAAAAAAAGAACAAAGAAATACAACATTTACAAAAAAATAGAAAATCATAAAAATTTCTATACCATGCTAAAAAAATGAGAATGTGACATACACAAAAAATTTACACAAAAATATAGAAAATCATAAAATTTTCTATACCATGTATATCTTATATCTTATATACTAAAAAATGAGAATGTTTCAATTGGTTTGGTCAAAACACCTTGATTTTACTTTCCAACTTTACCCTCAACTTTCTATTTTTTCCATTATATATATTGTCACTACAAATAATTATGAAAAAAATAACATGAAGAAAACAATATAAATTACAAAGAACAAAGAAATACATTGAAAATTTACAAAAAATGTAGAAAATCATAGAAACTTATATATCATACTGAAAAATGAGAATGGTGCAATTGGTTTGGTCAAAACACTCTAATTTTACTTTCCAACTTTACCGTCAACTTTCTATTTTTCCCATTATATATATGTTATTGCAAAATGATTATGAAAAACACATAAAATGAAGAAAATAATATAGTTTATAAAAAAACAAAGGAATACATAAAAAATTTATAAAAAAATAGAAAATCATAAAAATTGAAGAAAATAACATAAATTACAAATCTATACCCAATATATAAAAGCATAGTCAAATATCACCATCAATATCAAATACCCCGTGCATCGCACGGGCCATTCCACTAGTGATGTATAAAATGAGAGAAAGCAAATTCAGATGGTTTGGCGACATGTAGAAGACCATCTTTATCACAATTTAGAAAAAAGTGATTTGTTACAAGTTGATCAAGAAGAGGTATATTCATTTGATGATGATGCTAATATTTTTCATTTGATGTATATTCATATGACCTATGATAAACATAATCTTAGGTTTCATTTAAAAAAAAAATTAAGGAAACATAGTTTCAATTATATA